CTACTACTACTACTACTACTACTACTACTACTACTACTACTACTACTCCTGCCGGTGCTGCTGCGACGACGACGACGACTACTACTACTACTCCTGCTGTTGCTGGTGCTGCTACTACTACTACTACTCCTGCTGCTTTGGGGGCGCGTCTCTGCCCCCGCAAAAGGCGAAAGGTTGGCGAAAGTTCAGCTCAAGATTGGCGAAAGTTCACCCTGCCACGTCTGACCCCAGCCCATGATGAGTAAGTGTGAGCGACCGGCTACCACAATGGTTCTTGCAAGTTTTGGTTCTTGCAGACACCCAGGAGAAACAGAGACGGACAGGGTGTCAACAGTTATATAAGTAGAAGACACATGCTGACAAACAGTGAAGCTTTTATTTCGTATCTGCCAGTACAGAAAAAGATGAAAAACAATTGACAAAAAATATATCCGTCATACAACATATATGGCCAACATAAATACAACATACTTCGGCGAAAGATAAAACGCAGGAAGGCGACAATTTGGTTAACATATTTTTTGGCTAAGAAGGACGGATCTTGGATGAAGGAATTTAGATCAACACCCATATAAATCCAACGAAGGGGTTGAACACTTAACTTAGACATGAACGATGGACCTTTGCTTGCGTGCCCTGTGCACTTGCCAGACTTGTACTGGTAATGATCTACAGTACCGGAACCCTCAGATCCTGGTACCCGTTGTTCTTCTAGAGTCTCTTCCTTGATCACGCTGCTGTGAAGAAAAAAAACAGGAACACCTGAAAGATGAAACATGATGATACCACCGTTCCCTCCACCGTGGGGATACTCTGAGGTGCTATCGAGCGCCTCACTAGGCGAGTTGTTTGTTTTGGCAGTTGGGAGGGGTCATGGTGACGCGAAGGGAAGAGATTGTGTGTGTGTTTTTTCTTGTTTTGACTATTGATCTTGAAGATGTTTGTCTAGGATGCCTGCCCTTCAGATTAATTTCATGGTCGGTTCTTCCTGTTGGTTGTGGAGTGCTGCACCATCGAACGGTTGGGGAGTCAATGTCTTGGATCCCCGGACTGCCGTGGGCCACTCACTAAGGGTCTTTGATGGTCTTTTTGTTCAACCATCGGCCATGAGCGTCTCTGTTGTTGGCGATGAACAGCTGTGGGAGAAATGTACTAAGTGAGAAATCATCTGACATAATCATGGAAGTGGAGTGAAACCACCTGTTTGGTTTTCGTATTTTTTGGTCATCCGTTCGGGGCCATGCCATGCCATCCACGTAACCAGGACGTGACAACTGTTGGACGGTCAGACGGTCAACCGGGCCGGTACACGAGCACGAGCACGACCTCGTCGGGAACGGTCAACTCGCACGAGCAATGATCGCGTAGGGGTCACATTGGCTTGCGAGAGATGATCACCTGTGGTGGTGCAAGTCCCAATGGACATCGCAGGGGGGCCCAGAATGGACCTGAGACGCGTGGACCTGGGACCGTGGTGTGGTGACGTGTGGATCGTATGTTTTGTTTTGTTTCACTCAATTCTCTGCCATCCCCAACTTGAGCGTGTCGAATCAGTGTCGAACCAAATGAGGAGAACTGGAGATGCGGAATTGTGAGTGCCAAGTAATGAAACCCATTCTTGTCTCCAAAGCATTGGCTATATGAGCTGCCAAGCCAAAACCTTCGATGAAGGCAGCATCACTACAGTGAAGACTAAGTACAGTAAGTAAAGTGAGGGAAGCTTTCAGGAACGATAAGGTTCACAAAAAACGATAAGGTTTTACAGTAGTACATGTTGTTAGGTGTGTGAAACCCTCAGGAACGGTCAGGTTCACAGAAAAAATGATAACGTTGGGAAGAGTGCGCACTACAACACATAAGAGGTGTTGCACGTCGCTCAATATACTGTTGGAGAGCGCCTGTCATTAGAGATAATTTTTCCTGGAGACTCACAGGTGTGGGTAATTTAATGATTTGATGGTTTATGTTATAATTGCTGTGATCAGACTTTGAGGGACTTTGACCATCAGACTTGGCAGACCTTGATCATCAGTCTGGCGTGTTTGTGTGTTGCGTGTTTGTCTTGCGTGTTGGCCCCTTCTTGCAAGAACTGGGTAAGCGTAAGCTGCCATTGTGTTCGCGTCTTACAACAGAGGCAGATGCCACGACCGGTTTTGACAGCCGCTCGTGTAAGGCTTCACCACTTCCGACGACCGGGTCCTTTCGGCAATCCGTTGGATGAACGACCCGGTCGTCCAACGCCGTGATGAAGATCCGCTGATGAACTGAGGTCTCATGGGATGCATGCCCTGAAGGGCCCAAGGACCGACCAAATTTGAGGATCGATGGCGATTTGTTCGCCCCAACTGAGAGATGTTTGATCGATGTTCTTGGTGCAAGGGCGATTTCTTCGTAGATTTGGCGAAAAACAACTTGGGTGAAGGATGGTGGAGGTTTGATAAGGCAACCGGTACCAATTGACTGCTTCATGGCTGTGTGCCACATGGATTTGCTCGACTCACTTGCCGCCACATGGGCTCCCCAGCCGGGCCCGGTCTCGGATGGATCTATGTCAGGTGCTGGGTCATCAGGGGCCGAGGAAGAGAAGGGACGCTCAAAGTGGAGACTGGAAGCTCTAGATAACCCAATCAGTACGTATATATGTTTCAGCCCCATGAATCTGGGCCCGCTTCGCAACACATAGGTTTAGGTTCAGGTCCGGACCCCTGCCATGGAGGCCCCTGTCGGTTTCTCTAAAAGATGAATTTAAGGTTGGATTCGGTCCCATCAGCTGATTGGCTCCTTCCAGCCATTCTTCAAATGATGTGACTTTAGGGGATTTGCCTCAGACGAAGGTTCCTGAGCAGTCTTTACATACATTTCCAACTGCCGGGGTATTATATAATAGAGAAATGTTTTTTGTTTTGAGACATCTTTTTACAACGAGGGTTTGAAGGGTCATGGTGTTCACGAGCCCTGAACCTCAGTCGCACGAGGTTCAGACATATCATAAGTTCACGCTGGAATCTCCATCTGGAAGTGGGAAGCACCCTATTCGTCCTGGAAAAGAAAGCAGCCAAGGGTCCACGCCATCCATTTCCATTTTTATCTAAAAAGTTGGAAGGTCATATACCAGCAGTCACAAAGGGGTGCTTAATGGAGGTTAGGGGTGCCCATTATCCACTCACTTGGAGACCCCTTTGTGACTCCTGGTATATATATATATATATAATTAACAAACTGTTTTCTCTCAGAATCCGGACCCTTCACCAATGGAAAGGGCTTGGTTCGGGTCCAGGTCCCGCCTGCCAGGGAGGGAGAAGGTGAGATGGTCCCCGTCCCCTACGAAGGTGTCGGGTCCGGGTGGAGTGTTTGGTATCATTTGTCAACTTCATCCCTCATTTGGCATCATGTCATCTACATCATGGGGTGTTTCATTCAACTTCTTCGATCCTTCGACATTACTAACAACAAGATAACAAGGACGCTACTATAGGTTGGAGGCCATCGCTACTAGGGTGGAGGCCATCGCTATTAGTAGCAATGACGCTACTAGTAACAAAGGCATCGCCACAAAGTCATCTTCGATCCTTTGTGTTTTTTTGTCTTGGTGATGTCAGGCCTCTCAGGCAGCCGGCTCGCGTGCTCGCACCCAGAAGGGTTTTTAGGGTTGAGACGCGGGCCCTCTTTTTCCAAAAGCCACTGCTTGACGTGTGTGAGGGGGTCGCTGGTCCACCAGCTCGGTGATCCATGCATATCATTCAATTCGGGTCTTCTTACACTTCTTATAAACGATATGATAGTGACCTTAACATAGCCCACATTAGCCCACTATAGAACATTGGGAGGACAATACGACCATGTTTCTTTATTGTGGTTATTCATTGGGGAAAACAGCATTGTTTGAGAAGGCTACACATACACGATGCGTATCACCTGCACTCCGAGGTATGCGTATAGGAATACTGTACACTGTATATGGTTTTCAGCAATCTGCAACTTCAAGAGTTGGTGTCGGCAGTGTCAAAGAACAGAAAGCAGTGTCAAAGAACAGAACTCATAAATAAGACTTCACCAACAGTTTTGGTATGAACACAAATGACTGGACACTCCATGGATTGCACACCAAGGCTTCGTTTGGGTTTCTATGCTTTGGTGGAGCCGGAGCAGACCCTGTGACCGTACATTGGTTGGCCACAGCCATTTCACCCAACCACGTTTGACGGAGTCAGCAGAACTGGTATTCATGCCCTATGGATCCACATATGCTCGGAGAGCACTTTTATGTAGGCTTGGTGTCATGGAGGGTCGAAGTACGAGAAGGTATGTGAATCCTTAGGAACTGAAATTGCTTTTCTCACTTGAGGAAAACACATCAATACTCAATTCAGACGACGTCCACCCTTGAAAGTGGCCTGAGGTGCCATGCTGCCGCTCCTGTTCTTGCACGAAGCTAAGAAAGATGCCGCACAAAATCACCTGGTGAGAATATAACAAGTAGTAGCTTCTTGTTACTAGTAGTAAGGCCAGGAGCTACTAGTAGCATCCTTGCTCCTAGTAGCGATGCCCTTTGTTTCTAGTAGCTTGTGCCACTTCAAAGCGGATTTCAGGTGGTACTGTGGCACTCCAGTGTAGCACTCCATTCTGCGGGTGTAGAGAGCAATTTTGTGGCCTATCAAGTGGAGGGAGGTCTAGCATCCGCTGGACAGGTTGGAATGCATGGCGTGACCATGGATTTGATTTACGTGGACTGGGAGCTAGATGTTTTAGGCCTTTAAACTGTGTGTCGGTTGTTCCAGAGTGCAAAACGGTCACAGCAAACAGGATCAAAAAGCTGAAATTTATGTGCCTCATGTGATCTTGGAGGTGAAGACCTGTCAATGGACAGGTGGGCCGAGAGCGCTCCATCTCGGTGCCAAGGCTTCTCTACATCTCGCCCAGTGATGCCAGCCGCGGGGAGGCTGGACTTGATGGTTATTGTGGTAAATACATTTATATAAATACATAGTCAAGGGTTGGTGGTGCTGGTATACGGTATTATATACTATATATACACATTATTTCGTTCATACAAGATTCCCCAGGAAGCTTTGGACGCGCACAAATGCGCCGCGCCACTCTACTGATGTCCAGGCATCTCTGGAAGCTGCGAGCACACGACTCTCTATGAGTCAGGGCCGCCAGTCCTTTCCAGGTCCTTTGGGTTTGGATTTTAGGTTAAGGACTGATGTGCACTCTCCAGGTCACTGCATTGAATGATCAAGACCCCAAAAGGGAACCGCCTGATTTCCTTGCAGCTCCTGGATTTAGAGAAGCGTATTCTGGAGAGATCGACCCTTAGGACTCCGCCGCAAGTCATGCGTCATCTTCATTGCAGGTCATCAATCATAGTTTATTCTAAGGTTGGGTCCCAGTCACTCTGAAGCGAAGGTTTCGAGTCCAGGCCCGGAAAGAGCACCTCCCTCAGGATACGTCAGGCATCCGGGACAAATTGGGACAAAACAGGTTGCCATGAAGGGAACTCGGTGGGAATATGTGGGAATGGTGGGTTCTGAACTCGTCCCTTGATTTGATCCATGTTTTCTCCATTGCAGTTGCCACATGCCAAGACCCTAGAAAAAAACAATAAAGGCAGGTGGTCGGGCAGACGGCTGAAAGGTGAACTTAAAGTTGGGTGTCAACGAAGGCTTTGTGACGCATATAATACTGCGTAATATAGTTATTTATGGAGAAATCAATGGTTACAGTGTTCGAACATACACGACGGCTACATACAGTTAACCCTTTGTTACTTGATACCATCATGCAAGCTTTACAAACTCCCAAAGGGTGTGCAGGGACCCGAACTGCCCGACTTCGATTTTCGCAAGGGCCAGTGAATGTTGATCGACCTGTTCCCCAGGCCACTCACCTGCTTGGGAGCAAGTCTTTCAGTCTCTCAGCAACTCGTGGCCTGAGGTGGTGTCATGGAACATTGCCAACGTGTCAGCTCCCCAGAAAAGGAGACTTTGCGGTGGACGACTAGACGGCTACAGAAGGAGCAAATCAGCCGGGCCACCATACGGTTCCTCTTTGTTTCGCTTGTAAAACAAAGCGAAGTTGGCAAAACCCGCGGTCCATCGCTGATCAGTGATGGAAACTTCCCAAACCTGGATGGGAAGGCGATTTCTGCGCTTTTCCGGGCCAGTCACAAGGCTTGACCTGTCTTGAGATTGCTTATATAAGAGGCTCTGGCCCATCAATGTTTCATCCCAATGTCCTTGTTGCCCAATGGTAAACACCCAGAGAGGTATGGACATCATTGAAGGATATGTTATGGTTGGAGCATCCGAGTTGCTGGCCATAGAGAAAGTTCTCTTTCTACCAGGCACTTGCTTTTCGAAAGTTCAGCAACTGCTCAGCGAGAAAGGTCTGAAACACACACAAATACATTTAACAATCATGTGAATGTAACGTACGTATTCGGGCAACCATTGAGATGGTGAAATGTGGTTGCCCGATCTATCCTCAAACACATCAGGACTCAACCTCCTGAGGACCGAGATTGGGGTTGTTTGGGCAAACCAATAACACCAGGTGCATGAAGAACAAGGTTTGCTTTATTTTTGCTTTACATTGGATGTTTGCTGGAGCGGGGAGCATCAAGGGCGCAAGAAAATGAGGTATATACCAGGGAGTATAGATGGGCTATTGAATATGGTGTATTTGTATGCATTCCTAAATGTTTACTGGATGAGGTTTCGCTAACCTGACCAATCTATGGGCTGAAGGGTGTTGATCTTTCGCCGACTACACCTAAGGCAGTTGACACAACTCGCACGGCGAGCGAGACCATCAAGGCGCAGCATGTTGGTGCTTCGGCCCGCATCCAACTTTACAACCCACCTTAAATCTAGCCGGACTTAGCCCGACAAGTTGCTATCGACCAGGCGATGTGCCGCATAAAACATCATAAAACCATGGTGAACATCGTCTTGAGGGAATTTTGCCCGGGCCTGGAACCCCTCATAACTTCGTTTAGCTAAGGATTCGCACTCAATCCGCCACGATCGTTCCGTAGGAGGTGATCCGAACCGATGTGACGCCCAAGCTGGCTCCAGCGGTTTTTACGTCTCACCTTTTGCGCTGACTAACGCTTTCCGGTTGCGCCCCCCAAAAGGCCACTTGGATGCCAAACGGCGCAGATAGACAGGTCGACACGGACACGTCGTTGCCAAGCAGATGAGCGCGGAAAGAAGGAGGGACACAATTGATTCCAGATGAACAGTTTTGCAGGAAGATCTCAAGGTCCATCCGCAAAATTCAACTAGGAACAAGAAGCTACTAGGAACAAGTGCATCGCTTCTAGTAACTAGTAATAAAGACGCAGGAATATCCGAACATCCCTCTCCCATTTCTGCCCATCGACGGTCCAGGCGGTCCCTTGGTCGTTCTGAGGCAAACCATGTTGGGCCGGAGCCTGCTGTGCATTTGGGCCAGCAGCTCAGAGAAGCAACACCAAAAAGGCGTTTGAACATGGCAACTATTAAAGAAGTGTTTTTTAGCTAAGTGCCCCTCCAAGTACATCAGAATATTATAGACTGATCCCCAAATAGATAGAAACGGTTTCCAAAACTTTTTTGTGGGGATCAACTTTTCTATCTAGACTTGAACTGATAGAACGTACAATCAACTGGAACTTTCTGAAGCTCATCATCTCTTTGGTGAGCCACCGTGGATCTTCCGCTGAGGCGTTCCGCTTTGCGCTGGGAGAAGATGCGGACTGCGTCGGACAGGCAGCGGACTTCGGACTGCGGACTGGATGGTTCACCAGAAGAGGGGTGCGGCGGCCGTGTTTTGACACAACCCAAAGCTGTTTAATTGAAACAACCACTGCTGACCCAGGGTTCTTGTCTTGGCCACTGTTGATCCACAGCCAGATGAGATTGCTGAGGAGTTGTGCCACTGCCAATCATGTAGACTCTTGATAAATACTCCCCATTTGGATGCACGAACTCGCGGTCTCGCTCCCACGCTCTGATCCCTTGCCAACTGTTGTGGTCGGAGGTGACACATGTGAAGGAAACTGCATTAATATGTACACTACGAAAACTACTGCGCTGGGAAAGGGAAGTGTAAAGGACCCATTTGGATTGTAAGACCTCTTCATATTATCATTATGGGGTGTTGAGATACTGTACAATCAAAAGTCATCAAACGTCTATATATATGTATTATCTGCGACTACAACTCACATCCATCAGACTCAGCTCCGTCAGTGCCATTTTCGGCCAGATTGGCAGCAAGCCTCCAGGGTCATTTTTCAGAAGATATTCGCAGCAAACTGTTACCGCCCTGCGAGGGAACCCCCCAATAGTACAGTAGGGAGCCTGTTTCATTTTGTGGCTTTGCCAAAAATGGGAGGTGGACATGTTTGGGAAGACTTATGTCATCCTGAGTGTCATCCTGCTGGCAGGTGAGTCTGTCCAAAGAACAAACGTGCTTGTGATGTGGGAATCCGCACTCAGACAGTTGTGCAAGTGAACCCACAGGGCCCAGGGCTCTACAGCTCAGCATGAAAAGCATCCAGGAGTAACTAATGGGATGGAATATGGAGGGTGTATGGAGGGCATATCTATGCATATTTGGGGCTCGCAAGTTTTGGTCTACTCAGGAAGGATCTAAGCAGCATCCCACAAGGATGTTCTTCCTTCACGGCAATGGAACGGCAACCTGAGTCAAAACTAGGAAAGTCTATCTCACTGCCGCCGGAACCTTGGCCAGCCTTCCAGGGGTGCTTGAGCATGCTGCAGCAGCAGGTGGTGGCCAATCTTGAAGCAGAGGAGACGAGAGACGAGCAGCTAGCAGCTGGCTTACATTCATTCATGCCTTTGATGGCATCATGCATCATGGTGGATCGGTGGATCAACACATATCAATCACCAAACAAACCCAAGGTATACCATGGAAAGGGCAGACTTCCTTGGCAGTGGCAGAAAATCTGCATTCAAGCCCTTGAAGATCTGCATTCCAGTTTATGGATTCAGTATGATTCACTGGTCCTATACTTTGTTTTTTCCATCTCATCAGACCTGCCCACTGGGCCGTGAGCAATTCATGTTTCTTGGGGAACCACGCCAGGATGCAGTGGAAAAGTTTCACGCCGCCTTGGAAGAAGGAGACGAGGTCGAAAAGGCCGGGAGGTCGACAACGCGCACCGATCCGCACGTGTTTTTGTTTTCTTTTTTGTCAGGGCGGGATTATATAGAAGGCTGATTGGCTCAGAATGGTGTCACTCCAAACGTGTGAAGTGGATGGTGCTGGGGAGGTGTTTTTTTGTTGGTTTGTTGTTTGTTTATTGTTTATTTCGATGGTGCCACTCAACCAGCCTCCACCAGGATTTTGGCGAACAAAAAACACGTGATGCTTGCCAGGATGAGAATGCCTGGGGTGGCAGTAGCTCCACATATGGTCACTACGGCATCTCGGCGTGGGGGACGGTGTTTTTTTGTACCACCGCTGCGAGTCTTCTCACACTCGGCTGGATCCAAAAACAAGCGTGGTACAAGACAGGGAGTGTGCAAGTGAAGGACATGCATTTGGTTGGCCAGTTCTTTGGGCCTCAGTCTTGCGTAGAAATGCAGCCCACTTGCGGCCCAAACCGAACGATACCGAACGAGTGCCAGGCACTCTCACCCCATCCCAGTTTCTTCTATCAGAGTCGTGTCCTAGTCCATGAAACACCATGGGAAAGGACCCGGGGAGTAGTTTTTACGCTTTGGATTTAATGTGCTTTTGTAATGGGAAAGTGGAAACAAGATGAAACAAGTCTGTTGCCAATCAAGTTTGTTGCCAATCAGGAATTGAGGTGTCAATTCTTCAGGTGCCAACTCTTCAACATCTATGCTTCGATGGATGCAAGGTTCCATTTTTCATGAAAGCTGAAGAATTGACTTCATCCCTAAAATGCCAGGGTTGTTGCAAATAAAGGACCAACTCCCTGCACCAGTCTTGCCAGTCCTCAGGAAATTCCTACAGCAACCCCTATGGCAATGGCAACCCATATGGCAACCCCTATGGACAGTCCTATGGTAATCCCTACGGCGGCAATCCTTACGGCCACTACAACAATCCTTATGGCACCTTGGCAGACGGAGGGCATGGCCGAAACGAGTAACCGGCGGGAGGAGCGCTCAGCCGTATGTCTTGCGAGTTGCGCGAAGGATTTGTCTGAGGTGAGACCGAAGAGAGCACCAACTGAATGATCGTTTCTTTTGGCTTACAGGATGATAGGTGCATAAACAACAAATCAGTATCCAATTGTTCTGTCGGCAATAAAGATGCAGTCGTGGATATCATCATTGAGGTGCATAACGCTACGAGATTCTACAAGGATTGAAAGCACTGCCAATTGAACGGGGTTTTGTCAGTCAGTGCAAGACTGGCCACTGTTTCGACAGTGTTTGCAGGTGGTGGCTACAATCAGGGCTACAATCAGGGCTACAACCCCTACTCCGTGCCTGGCTATGGCCTGTGTCCTTGGAAGTTGGGGGTGAGAGAAAGATGACAAAACAGAGACGAAACACCTCAGAAGGGATGCCAAACCTTTTCTTTTCTGGAAGCTGGCAAATCGGAAATGAGTATGAGTACCGTACTTGTACCTCAATTCACAAGAGTTGCATTTTGGGGCGCAGGCTGTGTGTACTAAGAATGGAGAGTGGCAAGTGGGCAGACCCTCATAGACCCCCCCTATTCAGACCCGGAAAAACTATGGGAAGGAGTCGAAGAAAGAATACAAAATACAACAATCGAACTTGCCCACATGGTGCGCTTTCACCCTTCTGCCACTCCTAGCGGTCCTTTCCACGACAGTCTTTAGTAGAGGATTTTATCCACCTTTCTGATGCGCTTCTCCTCGATCTCTTGGTCTTCCACCAACACTGAAGCTTTTGACATCGTCTGTGACCTGCAAATGTCCAGCAACGGCCAAGCGAGCGCCTTCGCATGCCCTTCTCGTTCACATGGAGAACACACCCTGGCATCTCGCCTTATCTGGATGCACATGGATGCACACAAATAGCTTCTTACTAGTCTTCTTGCTATACTATACTTACTTTCTATGTCTCTGTCTGACAAGTATGAACCATAGAAATAAACACCCGCTGTTTAAAACTACTTTGTCTCCTGCTGCTTTGGAGAAGAGGGTAACTGCTCCTATCGAACCTCAGTAACCTCTTCTTTGAACCTTTTGAACCACCAATCACCCCCCAAAAAAACTCCGCAACATATGGTATTCTACTAAAACAGTGGTCAACTATAGCTTCTACGCTTCATCCAGACTCCGGCCGGTAGCTTTCGCCCATCTCGGTATGCTTGAGCACGTACTCAGGTCCGACAGGATGCCTCACGAAGATCTCGGCTGCTCTGCTCGCAGAAATACGGTCCTGTTTGCAGGTGTTTGGTGGAAGTGACCAACATCTTTTTGATTTGTTAGGGAAGTCCTAGTGGAAGCCCGAAGCCCTGAAGTCATGTGGTGAACGTCATGTCTCCCAGGTTTTCCCCGAAGCCTCGCTGCTATGTTTTTGGGCTTTCGGCATACGTTTCGAGCCTGTTGGCAAAGACAGACACCAAGCGCTGCAGACAGCACTGATTCAGCAACTCCGCAGTCGTCGTTGAGCGCTCCCAAAACCGGCCGAGACATCGGTGTTCCTGTTGGGAGACCACGGGACCCGTGTGGTGGAATCCCATTGGGATGGGACGGATGGGTACTGTAGAAATGGCGCTCAATGTCTTCTCAAAACGGACCTCTGAATGGTTCCTCCAGGTGGTGTACAGGATTTCAGAAGGAACAGAAGCAGACTGCAGACAGGTGGTCTTTGTTTCGTGGGACTGGGACTGGGACACAGCACTCTCCTCAGCAACCAGGCCTCCTCCTGCATGATCTTCAACTGCGCCAAGTCCCGAGGACCAACGTTATGCAACACTCAGGAGAGCCCGTTGCGGTCTTGCTGTGGAGCAAGCTCGCGGTCGTACAACCGAGCTTTGGGCATTCGAGATGCAGATCATCATGTGGGCATGTATGTATTATATTATGTTATATTATGGTTGAGGCGACGATGATAGAGGATACGGTTTGATATAAATACTATAAATTATGTTATTCAATAGATCACGGCTTGAGTATAGCAAATATTAGTCTGACCACAGAACTGGACAGAATTGGGATAGAATTGAGTTTGGCCCAAACAGCTGGGAATCAGACTCTGGTGCAGTGCTGAGCTAAGACATTTGATGATATTTGATGCAGATCACGTTGAGGGTGCTGAACCAGCCATGTGATGGCCAGTGACGTCCCAATGTGAGCGCAGCTCCTAGCCTTTGGTTTCTATTTGGGCGCTGGGTTGAACACATGAGGTCCTGGGCCCAAACGTGGTCGCCCGTTCAACTCCACGATTTTGGTTTGCAGACTCAAAACCGCATGGCGCATTGTGCAGGACTACTACTGCTATTGCCAGCCAGGTCTTCTGGCATGTGTTCACCCCGACTTGTGCATGTAGAAGTACCATCATTCACCTGCCATCACCAAACTGCTGATCACCAAACTTCACCTGCCAGGCTACTGCTCGGATGGCCATGGATGCATGCCCAGTCGCTGAGAGCTGACGCGACATACATATACGCTATAGTCTGGGCTACGCGGCTACGCGCATAAACCTCTTCGCTCGCTCTCGTGCATAAGCCCCGCAGAGCCATTCCTGAGCCATTCATACTGTCCCGCCACAGCCGAAGCGCTTCGGTTCGCTTCTCGGCTCCTTCTCCGCCGCGGTGGCGGTGGTCCACCGCAGCGGGGGGGGCGGACCGATTTGGGGACCGATTTTGGAGTTGCGGTTCAAAAGGCGTGAGGGATGGTCAGAGCATGTCAGAGAGGCCATTGTCTTTGGTGGAGACAGGGGATAGAATGGATTGACTTGGAGGAACTCGCAATAGACATTCAAAACATCTCGTGACATTTTTCACAGAGCGGTTATACCATTTATGCCTCACATAGGTATAGTGACTTAATTATATGGAAGGTTGCCAAAAGCAGTCTTGGGATTGGGGGTTAAAATTTGACAGCGTCTTGTTGATTAGAAACCTTTTGCTAGCCACCTTTCCATGCCTCTGTTGATGTGGACAACAGGTCAAGCCCATGTAGATGTAGAAAGTGCTTCGCATGGATTTCCCAACTTTGTACGTGTGGGTAAAACTAGAACTGTCAAACCAACCATAGTAGGTTGATATACTCAGGTCTTCGGATCCACGTTTGTTCATTTGCAGCAACTGAAGGGCTTTCAGTTCAGAGCAGCGAAGCAGGCCTTGCAGCAATGTATTGGTTTGCTCGAGGAGCCGAATTCTCAGCTTTGCTTGCTGGAAGAAGAGGAATCGAACTCGCACTTGGGTGTGTGAAAAATGCATAGGCAGAAGTGGCATAGGAACACCCGCTAGGGAGAACCATGGCTTATGTGGCACATTCACTAAGGTTTGCTTTGGCTGTATCTCTCAAAGCAACTCCATGACTCAGGTTGTTCATCGAACGGGGGTTTGTAATCCACCTGTGACGGTGTCTATGAATCGTATGAATGTCTTCAGTTTTCTTTTCTTGTGAAACATTTTTGATTGCCCACCCTGTTGGTCTATGAGTAGTTGTTGCAGAAACCTGTTCTTTGCTTTGATCCTGTTTGCCCCCCTTGAACTCAGCGTGGACACTGAGTTTCCCAGGTTCGCCAAAGAGGGCAACCAAGCACGAACCGCCACCAAGCGATCAGGGCAGCAGTGCGCAGGTGATTTGCTTCCTGTGAGGTAGCGAATTTGGGGGGCTGCTCTGTTGAAACATGTTGGGACCAGAAAGAATTTCGGACTTAAATCAAGAAGCACCTCTTTCGTGTTCTAGAGGAACTGTGGTCGAACTCATTCACCTGAAAGGACATGCTGTTATGAATATGATGCACATCACATGTCATTTCTTTGTAAAGGCCTTTGGAAGAAGGCTCGGACGACTCACATATGCTTTTGAGCATCATGACTTTGCACTGTCAGCACTTAGGTTCTTGCCAAACCTTGGAGACAGAAGACATCTCAAACTAGGAGTCATGGGTGCGTCTCCAGAATGAACGTCACAAGATTGCAAGATTGCGGTGGTCGAAATTTGAATGCTCCATGGTGCATGACCATGACCTCTCACAATGTTCACGGTTGCATGACCATGAGTTGCCATAGGTTTCCAGTTGCTTCTGACCAGTGCCATAGGATCCCTTGGTTTCCAGTTGCTTGCTGACCTGATCGGTACCATAGGTTTCCAGTTGCCATAGGTTTTTTGTGATCTCTCCAGGTACTCTGCTGACATGAACCTCTTGGGTTCCTTCCTTCAGTCCGGGCACCCAGTTTTGCATCGCTGAGGGCGTGGGGGAGACTCGTTTGGACCACCTGTTTACCTGTTTGTTTGTTTGTTTGTTTAAACAAGAACCTTGCTGTAGTTGGAATTACTGATAGATCTGATAGTTGGTTTTTGGACAAACAGCTGGTTGTTTGAAAACACTCGGTATATTTTTATCTGTCATTATAGTACTAGTTAATATTATATATATATATACTATATTAGGGTCTTCAAAGGGTTCAAAGTTGGCTTACTTGAAGGAAACTGGGACCGGACCCGAATCCTCTGGACAATTCTCTCAAATCATCTCAAATCCCGGTTTTTCGGGACCAGGGCTGTGAAATGACGGAGTGTCTCGGTAATAGCGTTCTTTGGTCGCTGATTCAACCAAAAGCAGTCGGCAGACGCCACAGACGCCCCCCAGGGGCTGGGCTTCGGTGGCACCGACCCGCGCTGGTCGGTGGCACCGCGGGACCTCGGTGCAGTCGTGGTTGGTGCACCCAGCCAAGCGCCTTAGGTCACTGGAAAGCCGAATAGTGAAGACATACAAGAGCCTCAGCCAAAATGAGCAAGTGGCGGGAATGGGGTCCCCAATGCAAGGTCATTTTTGGGGGTTCAAACCGAAAAGTCGCAGGCGAATCGCCTTTGGCCACACAGAAAGAAAGAAAGAAAGACAGAAAGAAAGAAAGGGTTCAAACAGAAAAGAAGACTCGCAAGGAGTGACATGTCTCAAAGCAACCTTGTCAGTCACAGGATAAAGATGAAAGACGATTGCAATGACACATCAACTCTCACCCAAACGGGCTGAATGTAGACGATTGATACATAAGACCCCCTATTTAGCAGAATGGATTTACGTCTCCAGCCCTCGCGGGGTTGGTTGATCAACAGGCAACCACTCGTTCGTTGAGAAGAACATCCATTCGACATGACGAAGCTTCAAGTTGTCTCAATGAGGCCTTGTCCCGACATGTTTCTCAGCATTTTGGTAACTCAGCAGACTGGAGGTCGTTTTTGGCGGTTTTTGGAGCCCCAATTCATGGAGGTCGTCCACTGGCATTTGAAAGCTCTGCAAATTGTGGTGTAGCCACCGTTTATTTGTTGAATTGTTTTTGGGGGTATGTCTCAGAAGCTCAACATACTGTATTTTTCTTAACTACCTGGAAAGGCGTATGAACACTTTTTTTTTGTGCGAAGGCCGTATTTGGACAGAATTTATCGTATGGACATTTTAATTAACGAATTAGCGTATTTAGCCGTATGGACAGAAAAACAATACCGTACAAAAGCGTACCCATATGAAATCCAAACTTTATCAACATTTTATCGACAAAAAACAAACAATTATATTGATAAAACCCAATCAAACCCAATATTCGAAGGAATTCCAGAAAATTTGTCCATTTGACAAAAAAGGCCGGATGCACGGATTTTTTTTGTGCGAAGGTGTTTGAACAAAAAAACATGCACATTTGGATTCCCTGGTAGGGTTGTGCACGTCCTTGACAGAGTGGCGATACAGTTCCCATGAAAGGTTCATGCTTCAGTGCATTGAGCGTTATTGGGCCCAAACACTGTGGCCTTGACACCATGAGCATGTAGGACGTGCCTGCGAAATATTTTTCACTTTGGAGGGTCTCCCACCCCACCCCTAGATAACGAAGCGAATGGTAACAGGTCTAGAGGCAAACCAGAAGGAACTTGCTTTGGGGACGAAACTGAGGGAGCCTTCTACTGCAAAACTCTAAACACAAGCAAACAAACATGGACAGAACATGAAAGAATTCTTGGTTTCATGAAAACCTTCCTGAACCAAACTGATGTCCTTGCTGCAAAGTCTGGTAGTGAAGGTATACGTATATAGAACTTGTATGCGCAGCAAAACACATGCAATGCCACATTTTAACCTGTTGAAATGCACATTGAGTTGCCTGCACTTCTTTTACTTGCATATCAGCGTATCGATTCAAGAATTCTTGAAAAAATCGGATTTTTCATTGTAAGATATTGCAAATTGAGTTCACTTTGGATGTCTCCAACTCAGGAAACACCAGCACAGCTATGAGCAGCTTCGCTCTGATCAGCACCAGGACGGGGAAGATGACGACGATGAAAGTCAACAAATCTATTGATAGTTAGTTTTTAAACATTAAAAAAACACGATTAAACATTTCTATATATTCAATAGATATGATGATAATACAGGATATATGATAATCGATATGGATATCGGAAATACGATCAAATGATGAGACTGTATGGATATATGTGAAACAATGATGAGACTCTGATCTGAGACTGCTGGAGGCATTCAAGACTGAGAATCTGTCAGAACCCATAGACTCTGAGTCCTCAGGTTGGCTCCACAAACTCCAGAAGGTCATCCAGAACCTCTCCTTGTCGAAACGACGCGCCTCCGCGAGGCTTTTTCGGGTTTCTTGGAGCGCTTGCAGACCATGAAGGCCAAGAACTGGTCATGAGATGATACGGGTGCAGCGTTTGCTTGGGGTCGGACGCGACGTCTGGTCGGGTCGGCCAGGAATGGGGAGGGTGGCCTTCATGATGTTCTTTTTTGGGTGCCGGGGTCTTCAAGGTTGAGAAACACCAATCTTTGTATTTTTGTGTTTGGTGGGGGGGGTGGGGGGGGCAGGTCCAGCTTGGCGATGATCCTAGCCGCAGTGGGTGGAGTTGGTGAGAGGGGAACTGAGAAACAACTTCCGGAAGGGCAGGTTGGAAATTCAGACATTTCGTTTACACAGTGACTTAAGTTCCAAGTCTTCCAATAGTTTCGTTGTTTTTGTTCTGCCCCCCCTCCAGTTGAAGAGGAAGTTGGATCAGAACGAAATGATGGGTTGAAACCAAACATCCAACGGCCCGGGGTGTTCGGAAACCCTCAGGCAACTTGCTGCAACAGAAACATTGAATTTGTCCCAAATAGAAAATACGTCAATCAATAATCAATCTATCAAGATCTATCAATAAATTGATTAGATGATTAATCAGTTAGGGATGCGATCCATGCTCTTTCCTGTTTTACAGAGGCATACTCTGACATTGACCAGCAAAATCCAGTAATATCCAGCAATCATCATCCAAGACTGATTGCAGGGGTGAAGAAATGGAAGACAGGCGATTAGTATTGCACTTCTTTTGGCGAAGAAGGTGGACCTTACCAATTAGGATTTGCTGGGTGGCAAGAAGGTAATTGTTCAAAGGCGATTAGTGTTGCAGAACAAGGACCTTGCAGAACAAGGGTGGTTCCCTAATCATGAGTAGACATTTTACTATAGGGTTACTCACTCATCGAAAAAGCAACGCCTTTTGGGCGACAATGTCATATGAGCCAGGATCCACTGCGATCTCCACTCCGGACTCCTACGGCGCTGAAGGCTGTGGGGTAGCGGCTTCATTTTCCAGAGATTTCCACTGATTCGTGGAAGACTGGATAGAAGGGAAATGAACGGATTCCTTTGTAAGGGACATCAACCTTTACATGCTTTTTTGGAAGAGGTTTTGACACACAGCCACATGGGTCGAAATCCATGGTGCCAGAACTCCTTTGGCTTGCTGGGGACCACGGTTCGGATTGATCAGCGAATATCCAACATCCTTTGGAAAAGAGCACGTGTGTCGACTCTGCAGGGCTCCTCGATGACTCAGGCACACGATGTCCGGATGTATTGAAGTGACATGGACTCGACGGATCGCTCCACCATTTCCGATCACCAGCGGCCAGGCAAGGAGGTCACAACGCAGCTGGTCCTCGGGTGTGGGGAGCGAAACGCCGGGGGGTCATTGGTGGTCCTCATTCATTTAGCTCCACATTTCTAGGGTGTATGAAGTGTATGACGGTACCCTAGAATCCCTAGAACAATTTGGTTTTGGTTGACCTCTTGAACAGAGAGGAGTGGCACGGGGTTTTGACAGACACAAACACAATCACACCACACATGTTGTTTTTGAGTGGGTTTAAGTTCGATGCTCCCAGTTTGTCATGCCATCGTGTCATCCCGATCATGGCAAACTATTTTTTAGCATGTTTTTAGCTGACTGCAACCATTGGCAACCCTTTAGAGATTTATGAGTTGGTAAGGACAGGGCTGTTTATTTGTTTTAAACTCGGTGGTTGACTTACCCGAATCGTGTGAACTTAGTGGGAAGATGCATTGTGTTTTGCAGGAATCAAGGACATTAATTTATTTCTGCATGAAATACCCCTCACCGGAATAACCCTCACCTGGCCATCGCGGAAGCAGAAGTTGTTCGACTTTGGACTGCCATGCAAAAGATTAATCTCCCAGACACTCCATGGGACTGGAATATACCATTTCAACCACCCCAATGGAGTGTATTCCATATAACATTAAATATATAAACTCCAATGGTATAACACTCCACCATATAAGATTGTCCCCTTTTCAACCACCCCAATGCATGGATTCACAATACCAGTCCCGCTCGACTAGGTCATGTTCGGGACCCTTTGCGGGACCGTTCGCCACGGCCCCAAGGTCAAGCACACCAGGCACCGTTCTGCAACGTTCGTCGTTACACCCCGTGCGTGCAGGGTGGTGCGAGACCCATGGGTGGATGTAAGGCTATCGGAAAGTAGAAGAAACGCACCAAAGAAACCGTGGCCGCCATGCCAAGCAATCCGAAAAGTGAAAACGGAATTGACGGAAAACAAAGACACATGTTTTGTGTTTTTGTGTTTGTTGGCTTTCGCTATTTGATTTAGTGTGTGTTTTTGTGCTTTGAGATGTTCGGGCGTCGCGAAAAGTGAGAGTGTGTTTGCATTTGGAGGGCTTTTGTATGGTTTTGCGGCGTCCATTCAAAACAAGCAAATCAACAAAATACCTCACATCAACCATCTTCAACCATTTTGGTCCCTGGTACGATCATTTGGCCGCTTCAGCTTCATCCAAGATGGTCGGGTGCCGCTTCTTTCGGGCGGCACGCCCAAACATCACCGGACGACAGTACCTTTGTGGGGTTGGTGACGGACCTACTTTGGATTGCCTTGTTCTATAAGTTATGTAGATGACCATACATAAGGTTTAGTTTAGATGGTTAAGCATTCTGTACCTATGAATCTTCCAGGCAGTTCGAGTTTTTCTGCGATGGCAGCAGACAAGCCTTGGACGTGTGCAGACCGCGAGGCCCCCCAGCTTTTTGCAGATCTCTGACTCAGAGGATGTCCTAATCTCAGTACTTGAATTGGCTGAACTTCCCAGAACTTGAAGCCATTTCCAAACTGCAGATCTCCTCTGCCAGCAGCTGAAGACCAGATTTGACTGTTGCGTTTGATGTTGTTACGCCTCGATGTTGGTGGTTATATTTGTTCATGTTGAATGGGGTGTAGATCTCGGTGGTCGCCGTATCATTAAAAAATGCAGCAGGTGACCGGTGACTATAGGTGACCATCCATAGGGCTCTTGTGGAATGGAATGAATGAAGGTGATGGATGCACCGTTCTGGGGAGGCATGTTTTCGTTGAAATCCAGGATGACTCCTCAAATTGTGCACCTCTGATGTACTCCCATTGGTTGTTAATGTAGGAGACCCTGTTTGGTATCTTAGATTTCTTTTGGCGGTACCTTGCAAGCAGTCAATGATAGTTGTTTACACCATGAAGAACCGTTTTGGTGTCTACCAACCTAAAAAACTCCAGAACAACATGTTTTCAGCTGACCCTTTTCCGGCTGGTGAAAGGTTTTGGCTTCATGTCGGTTTGTCTTTCCAGGTTCTCCTGGGAAAACACAGAATGGCATCATAGGTGGTCTGGCTTTTTTTACTATTGGTTGATTGATGAAGAGGTCTACAACCAATTCGTGCATGGTACCCAACAGACCCCTTTGTTCTTTCCAAGGGCGGACATCATTGAATGGATGGTTTGCCATTTTCACTTGTTTGTTTGGCTTGGATGAATGGCCTCCTGGTCACAACGACCTGAAAGAGTGTTGATCAAGAATACATCGCCCAAGCTTTCTTGACCAGAGTTGCTTGCAAAAGGGTTCGGCACCGGAACAATATATCTCAAACACCCGAATGGATGTGGACATGTGACATAGGACCTAGGATCATAGGGCTGTTGCTGCGATGAGGAAGGAGATGAGATATCCAAGATGAAGGACGACTTGCAGAAGCTGCAGGAGCTCGGGGCGCGGTGGAGGTCATGGTTTTTCTTTTTCATCGAGTCCTCAAAATGCATTTGAGCAAAAGGTCCTCCGGTAAACCATGGCTGTCCAAAGGGACACCTGTGTTCGCCTGGTTTGCGAAGACTGAAGACCAAACCAGCGTCTTTTGAACGGTTCTTGATCAATTAAACCATTCCAATTTTGGATTGGAAGGACCCTGAATATGGGGTGCTCAAGCATAATACAATCAAGAGTCTACATGACTTTGCAAGCAGGTTAAGGCCTTTCGGCGGATTCAACATCATCCGTCTCTTTGGTAGGTGACACCTAACGAAGGTGAAAGCCCGAGTTTCCGGGTTCCTCGGACCCCAAAAACGCGGGTGAAGGCGTCAGAGCTCTTTCTGGTCAGGTGCGAAAAACACACGTACTAAAAGCAGTATAAAGCATTGGATAATTATGTCATGATGTTCCATGTTGATCATTTTCTCTCTTTTTTTGACTGTCGTCCCTGAGAAAAAAGAGAAAACATGTGAACTTGAAAGAACTTGTGAAATCGATCAGCCAGCAGCGCCACACACCAGCAAAAGGCCCCTTGAAGGGTGATAGATTGTTTCCTTCGATAACCATCCGTTGAGTGTTGCTGGAGTTTGCCTATTCTCAATTGTCTAGAGCCTATGCACAATGCACAAATTGTTAAAACTGTGTCCACTCAACCGGCAAGACAGAAGCCGCACCTCATGCTTTTTGGTCCAACGTTTTTTTCAAGTCCTGGCAAAGGAGACGGGAGAAGAGCAATATAGACACACAAACCGGAACTTGGATAGCCAAGTTTTTTTGGAATCCAGTCTGAGTCTTGGTCCGTCTTGAGTTTTCACGGCCACACCCATATGCAATCTGAATGTTGGTTTGCGAAAAGCAGATCCGAAGTACATGACAGACATGAGTTTTCCGTAGTTCACGCAGGAGAGTGTGCAGCGACAAAAAGCACTGGGTGATCAAGAGGCTGCATGATGCAATGAGAATTGACTGTGTGTATGTGTCCGCATTTAAATCCAGCTACCATAATACTTGGTATGAGACGAAAAAGCAAAGAGCTGGAGGCACTGGTAGAACCTGTGGTAGAATAGATTCTGACTAGGGCTGCGTCCTTGCAGAAGGGATCGCGGGAGATTCTTTTTTTTGAATATGTTTTAAGGGACGATCATGGCGACTGCTCAGAAGCTATAGCTGATGGCAGAGCAGCAACGGCCAGATCTATTCCACCCTCATCAGTTCAGTCATCCAACGACTACACTTGGCAGCGCAGAAGAGGGACTACAATCTATTGTTGCATGTGTAAGCAAGAAACACGATTCACAACGTGTTAGCTGTCGAACAAATTCGACGAAGGAGTGAACACAAACAGAAAACAATGTTGCCAATGATCATGGAAGCGGAAAACGACTTATTTGTAGACGAAAAAGGTCATCCAAGGGACCATGCCATCCACTTTGATAAAGATTCCAGGGGAGAGGACGTATTTCGTTACTGTTTCCAAACAACTCTGTCTCTATTACACTGGCTCACACTGCAGGTGGAGGTCGCCAATGAGCGCAGCTGGCCCGTCGCCACCAGCCTCCTGCAACTCTCAGCCGACCCCCCAGTGGCTTTCGCACCGAGCAGCGGATGCTTTCGGGTTAACGAAAGAAGATCAACCTCATTTTTCGCTTGCCGCTACTGCTCCCGCTCTAACTCTATCGTTGTGTGTACTGTATATATATAGATTTATAATGACTATTTCTTTCTTGTCGCGTTACATTTTGTTCAGAACCAGTGTCCTCAAAGATCTCAAAGTGTTTTCCCTTGAGTCTACTAGGAACAAGTGCATCGCTACTAGGAGCAAGGGCCTTACTGGTAGTATCAAGAAGCTATTAGAAACAATGTTCGCTACTAGGAACAAGTGCATCGCTTCTACCCAAGAGTTTCTTGTTTCTGAGTCCGTCGAGTCCGTATTTGTCAGGCAGCAGAGGGCGAGCCGCGGACTCGCTCGAACACCAAGGACTTGAAAGGGATTGACTTGAGTGCGGCGGTCCGGTGGTCACGATATGTGGGCTTTTGAAATCGATATGTGGTCACGATATGCTGGAATTAATTGAAGGTTGTGTTTAAAAAAGCAACTTTATTTTGATTTATTTTGCAAGTATTTTGTTTTCTGTGTCTATTTTGTAGCTTGTCACTTGTCACCTGCAACAACTGACGCTGTTTGAAGCCACATCCACATTCAATGGTCGGCTGAGCATTTGGACGTGCTCCAAATGGTCGTTCTGTGACATCATTGTAGACTCTTGTAGACTTGTAGGCCACGTAGACCATGCCACAAAGCAAGGGGCACAGGGTATGGGATGCCACAGGCTGCATCCACGAGAGAGTTCTACCTTTGCCACAGGCGAGCATTTAACAACCGTAGATTTGGGTGTGTATTAAAATAGGGAGGCCTCCAAGACTCGTTGGAAGAAGGAAAATAGACCAACACCCATTGAATTGATGTTTTCCAATTAAAATCTATCAAACTAGCAAATTTTTGTGCCAAAGGTGTGAGTCTTCCAAGTGTAAGATTTTCAAGGTCCATGTTTGTCCGAGGGTGGACAGCTTCTTTTGCCACAACCGCTTCGGCACCTTCTACACTTTTGATTTCTGCCGTAGTGTCGGACAGGACAATGAGTCCTCGGCCTCCAGCCTTTTGGAAGAGGAGAACGGAGGCCTCTCATGGACGTTGCATCATATTGACCCTTGGCAGAATGGCCGGCAACATCTCTGAAACCAACTAAACCAACGTAGCCTCGGGGCTCTTAACATGCAATCCAAACATATTTGTGCGAGTAGTTGTTGCAAGGTGGTGAGTTTTTTGGAGGCTCGACAGGTGCAGGTGACCTCGTCACACTGGTCGTCGGGGGGGCGTCGCGGGGCGGGGGCCCGCCCTCGCACCGGAGAAGCTCCTGACAGGTTTCGGCGTCCAGTTTCCGTGTAGAAGAGCGGTGAATCAATAGGGTGGGGAGTTGTGCACGGAGTTAACAGCAATTCAAGAATCCGGCATGTGTGAGTACTAAGGATATTATATGATATGATCTCGGAAGGAGTGGGCGAGCGCGGGTATGGCCAATGAATCATTGAGAACGTCCTCAACATGGGTAATTAGACTAGTGGGTCAAGACACATTCGGGTGGCGGTTTCATGGAACCTTGAACTCATGCGGCGGGAAAAGTCGTGGTGCCAAAACCCTGTTGACTGGTTGGCTGTGAATTGCACTCAGGTTGGCTTTGGCCTCACAGACCAGGCCGTGCAGTTGGGTTCTGGATGGGGTTGGAATGCGTTGGAGGGATAGGATCTGTGCTCGTCAAACACAGTACTCAGTACTCCAAAAAACAGGTGCCTCCATGCTGTTTTCATGAGTTTTCCCTTGCTTTGTTTGTTCAATACGAGCTCCATCAAAAGGAACTGGTTTATAGACTGAAGTCTCCTCCGGAGAAGACGTTGGAGGCTTGGTCGGTCCCCACACAGCAATGAGAGCTGCCCGTGCGCCCGCGCCTTTTTACAGGAGACTCCAAAGCAGACGTGAGCTGAGGGCCGTTGAACAATAAGGGCCTTTTCATGGCTATTTCACTGGCCTCCTTGTCCGGGGTTTCTGGAGATGTTCTGCTGGGTTGGAGCCACGTTCCGACCTTGTAGATGCAAGAATTGCTGGACTGGATGTCGCCGAGAAGCCGAAAGCGAGATTGTCTCAAAAGGCTTGATGTCCATTCATCTCAGATTTAACCATCATTCAACGCTGTAAATACGAAAGCAACATCCGGTCGCCAGCGTGTTTGCAGGACAGCATGCCGGTGTGATGGCAGAAATGATCAGAAATGATCGACTCCATGCGTCCGTGACACTTCTGTCCACTTCACGTACGTGTGATGGTAGGTGTCGTAATTATATATATATACTCGCGGACCGAAAGTTAGAATGGGGCGGCGAATCCCAAAAAATGAATGCCAAAATTTTATGAAGTTAGAATGCCTCCCTCTAGTTGCTCATAATTTCCCCACCGGCGCGCAGGAAACACCACATAGAATGCAGGTGTTTCACCGTTCTCAAAGTATATTTGCACTTGTTGAACTCCGGTCATATGAATGGCAAGGAAAGCATGTGTGCCCATATTTGTCCCACCAGCACAGGAGAAACCACAGATAGAATGCCGAAATTTTATCATGTTAGAATGCCTCCCTGTAATTGCATATAATTTCCCCACCAGCGCGGAGGAAACAACACATAGAATGCGGGTATTTCAAGGTTCTCAGAGCACTCAAAGTACAGTCAGTCATTTGGAGCCCAAGTAGCCTCGGGCGAGCAATTCACTATTCAATCTCTCCATTGCGGTCACTGGCGCGAAGCTGGCAAATCTGTCAACAAAGGAACCAGGAAGTGCGCGCATTGGGCATGTCATGGACTCATGGACATGTGATATGCTCAATGAGACAAATGGTAAACCCACATGATCCAAATGATACACATACCAGCCTTGCACACACCTATCCCATTGAAGCCAAACAGGCATTCACCATTGAATCAGCGGCCAGCGGGTGACGCGGGGAATACAGCGTGTGTTGCTAGCCAAAATCTGATCTTCCTTTACTGCCACTTCTTCAGTGTCAAAACAATGTTGGCCTAACTAAGAACAACATAAAGGTTCCACTGTTGAACTGCTAAACATGTTCAGCATATGTGAGCACCGCATTCTATCTGTACAGTTTTGTGATATTAGTGGGCTTTTTGTGTGATTCTGCCGGTCCGACGTCATTTTTGCCGTGTGTGAATGTCAAAATCAGCCGGTCCCCAGGGCCGAAAATCTTCCCCCAGACGCCCCAAGCCGGCATTCTAACTTTCGGTCCGCGGGTATATATGTTCCGAATGATTTTCGCTCCAACGAAACATCATCGCCAGAGCTTTCCGCTTTTTGGATCCGGCCCCCCTTTCCGAAAGAGACGTCCTTCCTTCCGCGGTGGCCACCGGTGGCCGTGTCGGTGTCGGACACGGTCGTCGGCCAAAGCACTGCCGCTCCTTTGGCCCAGAACGGTCGTGGGTCATGGTGCCTCGACACGTGGGTCGCTTGGGCCTGGCTGCTCTGGCGGCCGGTGCCTCGGTCGTCGGTCGTGCGCCTGAGAGGAGGAGAGAGGACCAGCTCCCGGCGAGCCAGCACCACACTAGGCCTGGGGAACATTCAAGACGTCATGAGGCCTTTTTTGGGCGATGACTCATGACACTTTCATGAGTAGAATCGTATAGGTTGGGTCTGTCCTATTGCCCTTAACGGTCGGTAAACAAGTATGATATATACTATGTTTGAAAAAAGGCTTGTTTACTAACCCATCATCGTCCACGGTTGGTGGTACATGTATCATACATGTATCCACAATTAAGTTGATATTATTACAACCTGTGAGAATAAGATAGAATAGTAAGTATACTTATTCTTCTTTCTGATCACAATATGCGCTTACGACCGGGTATTGTCATACAATTTTAAGATATTTTGTTCGTTGCCAGAATCATGCTACAGATCCTAAAAAGAGTATAGATCTCAGCCTCAGGTGGTTCCTTTCCACCCATACAGCGACTGTCCAGTGTCTCAAGCCCCCCGACTTGAAAGCCATAATTATTTGTTCGCAATTGCCGACCATGGTCCGCAAGCAAAGCTCCGACATTTGCTTCGTGTGGCTGCATAGCGTTCTTCAGCAGGTTGATGGGACACCCACAAGCCTCTAGATCTTTGTACCATTCATCAGTGGGCCTGTTGTGTCGGCTTCCATGTCCAATCACACCAGCAAAATGTATAACAAGGAGAATAAGGAGACTGTCGCGCTAAAAAACGGTGTGCCCTCATCCCCATGAGTCGCCGTGATGGTGAGTCCTTGAGTCCCTGTGTTGTTCCCGGGATTTTCTGCGCCGTGCTCTGAAAGACCATCACCCCACGTGGGACCAGTTCATGCTTCCAAAGCATCGTAGTCTTGCTTCTCTAATTGAGGGGATCCCTCCCAGTGCCAGAGGCAAGTCACCTGTGGTAGACATAGCTTTCAATAGCCTGGATTGGCAGATCCATGGAAACTGATCAAAGGCTCCAAGGACTGTAGCTAAGTTCCACACGATAGACCATGCCATACTTGGAGAAGACTCCAGACACCCCCTCTTCCTTAAGTGTTGCGGCAGTTGCATAAGAAAAAACTCCACGCCACATTGACCTATTAGCCAAACACCTTGCCAGTAATTGTACCCAATATGCGGATGAACTACAATATCAGCGAATATCAGTCTGGAAAATTGCCGACGAAGAGCCACATTTGAGAGACTGCATGTTTCTCCGGTACTGCGCGCAAAGCTTTGAGAACTGGACAGCGACGAGCCTTGCTTCCTTCTGGTAGCTGGTAGCTCATTATCGCGGATTTTGTTCATGATTGTCAGCTGAAATTTCAATAGATTCGGAGATCCAGGTAGTGAGAAAGACCCAAAGTATAAGTATAGGTTTATACTAGAATCGGAAGAACATATGCACGTGCTCTTAAACATCGTGTTTGTATATCCCACCATCCCATAATTTTCTATAGAACTTATTATAACATTCATGTTTTTGGGGGACACTTTCATTTGTGAATAATTTGTGGTGTCTCCATTTTCCTGTTCCCTTGTCCCTTGGAGGACCTGCCGTTGCGAAGTGAGGCTATGGGGCCCTGGCGGAACGCTCGGACGCTCCGCGGAGGTCCTGGCCTCCGAGGCAGCGGCTGAAGCTGCGAAGCGGAAACTTCAGAGCCCAGCGGAGGAACTTGAGGAGATCTCGTTGCCTTTTATCATTGGTCATTATATACCAGTTTGTTCAATGTGTTTAGGGCTAGTTTCTTTTTTTTTTAAAGGGGCTGCTGGAACTTGGTGGTCCTGGTAACTTATATAGGGATTGATAGACGTTGGAGGTCTGGGGTTGCAACATGTTGCAACACAGGTTTTAGGCGGGGTGAACATCAACACTGGACCAATTCCAAGCAGAAACATTGTTTGAAAAAGAGATTAACATGCCCGACCCTGGAGGACTTCATCCAGAAGGGTCCGTTGTATAGCAGGCTGCTGCTCAGCTGTCCATCTCCTCCACTGACCGAGTGGATGGAAAAGGGTGAGTTGTTGGCCAAGCAACTCAGTGCCAATGTCACAAACCTCTCTGACCGAGAGATGGCGAAGCGCATTTACCACCTCTACTTGCCGTGGTACTTCTGGATGCGACACCAAATGATTGAAATCCGGAGTGCCAGGAGTCGTGAGGGACCTTCTGCAGTGGTCTTTGGGATTTCCGCACCACAAGGCTTCGGACACCTGCCTTGGCTTATCGAAAGACATGATAAGTGACAGTGATCAAAGTTGTTGATAGCCATGCTGTCATGTTTTCCTGTTCAGACATGCCCTGAACCTATCGGAGTGCGATGAAAGCCAGTCTTCAGCGTTGTCATCTAGCATGTCTAGGTGAGTTTAGGGAATGGTGCAGGAGATATTGCATACCTTTTCCCAGCTCTCAAAAGGACGCAGCTCCCAGCTAGTCTCCCATCCGTATCCAACCATCCAACTCTTCGCCAAGCGCGTTGCCGTTGTCGTCCCCGAGGAAAGACCACGGCCAATGAGTCGCTGTCGCTGCTGTTCCATGCTGATGGGCTTAGCTTTCAAGCAATCTCCATCGACGATTTTTACTTACCTGCAAGCTGGCAGGAGGAGGTGGGCTGAGTGGGGCTGAGGAGGAGGTGAGCAGAGCCGGTGAGGTGGGTACGGATATTGAAAAACAGATTGTTCGGCACACAACAAGAAAACACGCGAAAGTGGGGCAGCACGACAGAACCCTTGGCAGAACAAGTCCGAACACAGGGTGTAAAGACATGTCTTGGCCAATGCTTGAAACTACCCTCCGACTCACTAACATGAAGTGGAAAATGGCCTTTGGGAAGATTCTCTTCCTCTACTAGCAGGGTGGTTTCCACTTCCATGTTAGCCAGTCAGAGTGTAACATCTTTGATGGAGTCATCCACATCAAGATTTCAATTCCCAGCATTTTTTGTTTGATTCCTTCGTTCCCAAAACCCAGGTTTCCAATGGTTTCCATGACATTTGCACCCCAGGTTTGTCCATGCCTGGTTTGTTGGTGTTCCATGGTGTTCTTATGTTTTCTTTGTTTTTCAGGTGGCGCAGGTCTACTCCGAGAACGAATTGTTGGAGCTGCGCGGCAACCCGGGCACCCACGACGTGCACCTGGGCGAAGAGACCTTGAAAGCGCTGAAGCGCGTCACTCGGCGCAGCCCACATATTTGTTTTCACATTTTGGTTGAATTACTGTAAATAAACATGTATAAAAATGTGAAGAAGGGTCCACAACCCCCCCCAAACCCACCAAAAAAACATCAACAATCACATACAATCACATCCTATCCCCACCTTGGGTGTATAGGTGATCCATCTTGTGTTAAACACATGCAGCTGACCACCCCACCCCACTGACCCCTACTTGTACCACATGTTCGGACTTTGCAATGATGCAGAACCCCACCCCAACTCCATCCTTATCCGAAGTGTTACTGTACAAGGTATATTGTCCCTGAGGCCTGAGGCCTACTATTGCTGCACTTCGATGTTTGTTTCTTTCATTTTTATGGGACCCCTGAGGTCTCCATAGGTTAAGACACCTTGTCTTCCCATCTTGAGTCTTTGTTGCTGCACTCTCATCTACCAAATGCCTGTGGCGCTCTCTCTCTCTCTTCTCTGTGTCTCAAAAACAAAGCAATGTGATTTGTTAGTCTGCTGCAATTTTACATTGCAATTCCATGCTTTTAAGATCTTTTAAGGCTGGATCTTCCATTGCCTAGTCAAAAAGGATCAAACAGGTATTGCAACTTGCAACACTGAATTGTTGTCTTTTTTGTGTGTGTGGGGATTTGTTGCTGTTGTGAGTATATAGATGAATTAAATACACGCCGTTGGCCACGCTCTCCAAAACAACCACCTTGTTGGGTGGCCGAGCATGGGTTGCCACGTCAGCCAAAAAACATTTGCGACTGTCGCCAGGTGGAGCAAGGTGAGGTGTGCATTCCACGTTTCGACAAATCTGCATTGAATGGAAAGGGCGATCAGTTGCCACGAAACCGCTGGGACCGCGTCCAGACACCATGCGATGTTGTGGTGGTGGAAGGTTGGATGGTGGGCTTCAGCGCTTGTGATGGCCAGGATGTAGCCAAGATCCATCCAGGGCTGCGCCTGGTGAACGAAAAGCTGAAGAAGTACCAGGAGGGAAAGAACCGGAAAATAATGAATGGTTGGGTGATGTTGGGTAGTACATTCCCCCACAGTGAAGCAGAAGCCTCATTCACGATGTTCCAATGTATTCTGCCATTGATTTTTCTTGGATGAACAAGACCATGGCAACAGATAGACCTTTATAGTATCCTTTAGTCGCATGCCCACCACTTCTCGGTTGAGAAGGCATGACAGCAGGCAGCATTGTAGTGGATGCTGTTTTAGTCTACCGCACTTTCGCTGCGCGACCGGACCAAAGCGAGGCTTGGAATGACCTGATCGATTGTTTTTGCGTCTTCGCCATGGACGAGATTGACCAAGTGTACACCTGGAGACTACAGGCAGAGGAAGCCATGAAGCGATCTGGACGTGGTGGCATGTCCTCTGAGGACTTGTTTTTTCGGAGGTTCTCCGAGTGATGTGTTTGGTTCTGGGAATGTGACTACATACATGTCTTCCAGCTTACAGAAAGTCGTCAAGAACTGTCGAGTAGTTTCTATGTAATATTGTGTCATGCTGGATGTGGAAATCGGGACTCCACAATAGAGCCAGAGAAACATATCTATCGACCTCCAAACATTGTCTGTTTGGTCCCTGAAACAAGGAAGTGAAGCGCTTCGTGAACCGTTTCATGCCTGCTTACTTGGCATATCGACCACAGCTCTATGCTGCAGCAGCTGAAGGAAGTGTCAGTGGCAAGACAGCATTGCTTTGCAAGATTGGTCGTGATCGCAGCGTGCTATGAGGGGGAAAAAGGCAGCGTGACATCAACCTGTTTAGATGTTTAGATATTGATAGACTAGATAGTTCGCATTAGCATGCATTAGCTAGGAGATCATCTCCATTTAACTTACATGAATAGTGACAACGGGATCTCACAATTCAACCAGTGGACCACTGGCAGGGATTGTATGCATCTTCTGTGCTATACCACAACGGAGAACCAAACGAGGGCTATCGAGGGCTGGGGCTTCTCCTTTCAATTCGCCTTGTGGATGAAAGAGATCTCCATCCCAGACACGACCCATGGGACTGCCATCTATGCCGCCCCAGTGACCCCCAAAACCACCCCAACTGATCGGCATATATGGCATACATGGAGTGTCTGGGCATTGTTTCTTTTAGTTATTTGGGTTTGGGTGGCCTCTTTCTTCTGACACACTGCATTTTTGGGGCTGGGCGCTTCCCAATTCGGAGACCAGAAATGAACAAGCCCCAAAAGTCGTGATGGGTTTCTTTGATAGATTTGCCCAAGCAATGGAAGCCATTAGAAATTACAAGAGCCAGCATAAGCACTATAAACACGTCGTGCACGGGAAAAGAAAGCAGATGCCCAGTGCTGTAGTGGATCACCCAGGCTCAGTTGAACCCTGGACACTGAGAGTTCGGAAAGTCCTGGACACTCAGTCGTGCCTGCAATGTGCCAGGGTGAGGTCTTTCGCATATTTGGTGGATTGGACTTGCAATGTGCGTGATGGGGACTGTTGTGTGCTTTAAGGTTTAAATGGACAGCAGAATCACCGGGTTCACGATGCAAAACATGTGACTGTCCCGTGTGTTTCTTTTGTTTTCTATCATAGGTTGTTTTCACCTGCTAATCTCTGGAGGGAAGAGCGAAGGTCCTATCGACAAAACATGCCATATTCATTTGCCATGCCAGTTTTGGCAGGACTGATCTCCAGATCTGTGACACTGATGACTGGCGGGGCAAGCCAGGAATGCGCAGAATGAACACACATATTCCGTGTGTGATTGAAAGTTGAGCAAGAAACCTCCCAGTGAATCTAAATGTGCCACGTTCCGTTCCGCTGCTGTCGGATCGTTCACTACGGTTGGGACCCTGGGAGCTTGGAAGGCATTGATATCTTGAGGTCACCTGATGGTCCAAGCATGTCCAAGCTGTACTTGGAAGATCTTGGAAGAATCGGTGCTTGCCCCCGCCCAGTTGCCGAATTCGCACGAAGGAGACCAGATTCTAGACGTGCGGACATGGCTTGCAAGACTGTCCAGAACCAATTGAGCTGCAAGAATGTTTCCAGTGGTCCTGCACAAATCCTTACCGGGATTGGTTTGTACAGAACAAGCTGAACAAACACTTAGCCAATATATATATATATATAGATACACCTTTACAGCCAACACCCGAAGAAAACCTAGGGTTCTCCAAAATACCCGGGGTTTTCACTGGAAACCCGGGGTTTGCGCTTTTCATCGTTCTTTGCATTTGAGCACGTGCATACTGATGCGGCAATGTCTTGTTTGAGTATCGAGACTACGGGTGTCAGTTCAGAAGATTTGCTTTTTTTTGGCGCCCAAAAGTCGTTCGGCATCTGACCTCAAACCCGAGATTTTTCACGGATTTGCACGGGTAAATCATGGGTTTAGTTTAGCACAGGTAAATCACGGGTTTGAAAAGATAGGGTTTTTTCATAAATAAAACCGGTGTTTTTCAAGGAAATCACGGGTTAGCACGGGTAAATCACGGATTCAGCACGGGAAAATCACGGGTTCTACCTCACACCTGAACTTGTCCCGATAAAATTCAAGCAAGTGTCAACAAACCATATCAATGGAACGAAATGGAACGAAAAAAAAAAAAATTGGATAGCCGCCCGGATTGTTCAGCATGCAAAGGAATTCAATCAACTTTACCTCAGCAGGCAGATTGAGAGAATACCCGGGGTTTTCCCGGGAAACCCGAGTTTTTATTCCATTTTGCAAGAATACCCGGGGTTTGTCCGCATACCCGAGGAAAAGTTAGGGTCCCGGCTGGCAGGGTATATATATGCCGACATCGTTTTTCCTTGGAGATAGTCTGACTCCTTTTGATGCGTGGCCTCTCACACAAGAGTCAGTCATGTACTTTGGCCACTCCTGGGGGATGACGGCAGGCCGATTGCAGTAAGCAACGAAAAAATACGTTCAGAGAGGCACAACGGCACAGCGCCACAGCGACAGCATGTGTGTTGAAAGATGTTGAAAGTGTGATGTCCTAATGAGCATCGAAGAAAACCCAATTTGCAACGCATGGTGTAATAAGTAGGGTTTTCTAACCTAGCAATCGCTTCAGCATTTACCTACCAGTTACCTCCAGTTATATTATGTAGGCCGGAGTTCATGTGTGTGGATTGAAACTCTATTGTTGGCTGGAGCTGCACACAGAGCTTTAGACTGCGTCGCCGTCCAGGGAAAACTAGCAGCTTCCTTGCAGCATTCTGGTTTTAAGAACTGGACTGCCCCCATTTTGCACTCTGAAATACACTTTTAGATACTTGGACAGTCTTTGACTATGCGTGCACAGATACATATCAACAATCAATAACAGTCATATGAATAACATTGAATATTGAACTATATATATAGAAGTGTACTATACCTGCCGCTGAAGTAGGTAGATTTGATTTCCTGAATGCTCACTTTTCATCGTATTCCTGCGGGTCGTGCAGGGTTGATCTACGATCATGCATTTTAGGACAACTTGATGGCTTGGCTTCAGTTCAGCCATGTTTCTGCGTGGCCATATCCATGGCAGGCCTGTTAACCTTGGTAGGAAGTCATCGGTGGCTGCCGAACACCAAATACCCTCAAAGCATTTCAAATCAAGGCGTGTTCAATCGCGAGTGAGTGCATGATCTACGAGGTTGATGCCTTCTTTCTATACCTTTTTTGTTTTGGAACCACAGATACTGTTTACTCTTTGAGTTACTTGTTTGAGCACGCTGCCAAGTTCGGAGTGGTTTCTGCTTGTACGCGTCGGACCGCGTGTCGTGTCATTGCCAAAGAAAAGAACACCACACTGTGGCATCCCAAGGCGCCATGCATGATTCAAACCGCATCAAACCACCTGACGCTGCCTCGACAGACTTCGTGCATCTGCTGCTCCAGGCTCTTCGCCCGGCCGATGGCCACGGCGGCCACGGCCGTTCCGACCGTGGCAGCGGCGGCCGTGGCAGCGGTGCTGTGCAGAGGTACAAGAGGTGCCATGGTACCGTTCGGTGCAGGGAGTGAGGCGGTCCCCTGTGGGTGTCTTTAGAAAACCTGAAATGCAGCCGAATTCGCCAATTCTTCGCCAAGAAACTATCGCGATCCATCGGGGGTTCTTGCCAAGATACCTACCTGCTGTACAGGCACTAAGTTTCTGCTCCTCAACAGCCTCCACCCTTCTTGGTTGCGCCAGCAGATTTGAGTTCACAACAGAAGCGGCCAGAGAGAAAGGAAACAGAGGTAGACGATCAAGTTTTGCTGGGCTTGCACGCCAACAATTGCCCACGATGTGAAAGTGAGGATAGGGTCAATTGTTTGGATGTCCTTATGGGTGTTGATTAAACTCTTTGCTGACACATGCATGATGCGGACTCGGATAGTTATGTCATCCTTCCCTTCGTTGCGCCAAAGACTTATTTCAATATCCCATCTCCGTACATCTCCGTACTAGGGGGGCATTGGGTACAAGCTGAAAGACCCAGATGGGGATGATCGACAGGTGTGGGTAGCAAGACATGTTTGAAGACTGCTTGTGGATTCGCTCACATTACCCGTTGTTCGCGACGGTTCTTTGTCGAGAGGTCGAAGGGAGTAGTTGAAATGCTGCAAGCGCAACACAAGGACATGACATGCATGACATGGTGTTCTACTCAAACATCAAGGACATGACAAGCATTCAGCACTGTTTCATACCGTTCCCTCACCATGCGGCACTTTAAACAATCCTTCCTGGGCCGCGAGGGGCCGCTCGCTCCGAACCCAGGCGCAAGGCAGTTCCTCTTGCTCCAGCGCCAAGCTGGTGCACCGGGAGGGTCCGGGTGGTTCTGGGCCTAACGCGATGTGCTTGGAGGATCAAACCATAATATCGTGACTTCAAGCGGGTTAGGTGGTAGGAGGATGTAGGAGGGAGAATATGTTCGACACTGGAGGTGGTGCAGGGTTCCTTCACATGAATAGAAGGCCCCCACCAAATGCGGCTTGAATGGTGTTCATCTACGCTTGCCAAATATCCTGTTTATTGCTTTGGAGTCTTTGGCAGGTCCTCCATGTAAAGATACACCGGTAGTCGTTACATCTTCATTTACAAGAATGTGTACGTAGATCAATCAGATAGTCAATGCAGGTGCATACAGCTGCCTGTAAAATGTAGGTGTGGGTTCTGGGAACGGATGGGTTAAAACTTAAGACCTTTTGTCGAAAACAGGTCACCTGCCAAGGGTTCAGATGGGGGGGGACAAATAACTCATGTCACATGTAAAGAACTTCTTGAGGTCCCTGAACCATCATTCCCCTTTGCGTTCGTTGCTTGCGCTGCCAGATCTTGAGCCTCCGCGACTACCATTGGGTCTACCACTCGTGAGGCATCCTGTGCAGTTTGTCAAGCGCCAGGCTTTTGGAGAGAAATGCCAAAATCGAAAGCACATACAAAGGGTTACCAAAGGTGATTCCTTTCGCCTGGATTTAATAACTTTTGCATTATTCAGTTTATGTAGTTCAGAGGGACTCATACTTGGAAAATGAGTGCAGAATCTATGTTATCAAGAGTATCTACATTCTCCAGACCACCTATTTCCGGCCTTCCGGCTGACTTGGCCCTCCTTTTCTGCATTATTGCCGTTGCAATGATGCAGTAAACCCAACACAAAGGTTCCGGCACTTCAACAAGGCCTTCCAGGAATGAATAGAAACAACTTACTAGGGTTGGAGCCTGGATGCGAGGTGGCCGGGGTTGGCATTGCAAGTCGCCTCTCCAGTCACCAG